AAAAAAAAAAAAAAAAAAAAAAAAAAAAAAAAAAAAAAAAAAAACCCATTTCTGACAAAATCCATGAGGGTGTCAACAATTTGATATAACCATTAAATTTGATTAAACAAAGAAGAAGAAGAAGAAGAAGAAAAAGCGCTGGCTCTCAGTTCAACCTCATAAAACGCTACAAAATACGGAGACCAGAAGAAAGCAAAACACAAGCTACATACACACACACACACACACACAAAAAAAAAAAGAAAAAAAAAAAGAAAGAAAGGAAGAAAGAAAGAAACACAAGCTACACAAGTAAAACAAGAGTGGTTACCTAGGGGGGACGAAGCCCCCCTCCTGAACCAAGAAATCGACCATATTGATGGTTTGCTTGAAAACCTGATCATGAATGTACACAAGCTATCTTTCTAGTCCGATACGGTCGTGATGACGGAGCTTACTTGCTAGGTTGACTTGCAAGCAAGTGACTTGGCTCGGGGGATCGGAAGCTCAAGGAGGGCCCAGATTGATGGTTAGCTTGGATATTCAGAACCACCTCCCACCCCCCGCCCCCTCCACTGCACAGTCGAAACAAACCGGAGCCGCCGAGCGTAAAAATGTCCTCATCGAGCTCATGTGCGGGTTCTAGTGGGCGTGGGTTTGGCGTGGGTTTGGCGTGGGTTTGGCGTGGGTTTGGCGTGGGTTTGGGCTACCAGTGGGTGTGGGTTTGGCATGGGTTTGGCGTGGGTTTGGCGTGGGTTTGGCATGGGTTTGGCGTGGGTTTGGCGTGGGTTTGGCGTGGGTTTGGGTTACTTGTGTGCGGGTTCTGTACCGTACCATCCGTCATCTGCACGGGAGTCGTCGTTATGCCATCTCGGTCGCTGACGTTATGCAACGGCAAAACTCCGAATCGAGGGTTGTGTTTTTTTTTTATGCACAACATGGAACAATTCTGCAGGGAATCGAACCAGTACCGATCTCAGGCTGAACATCCAGACACATTAGAGGTTTAGCCACAACAAGCCTATCCTGCTGCGCTCCAAGTTGGCGTCATCCACCAGGCTGAACATCCAGACACCTTATAAGAGGTTAAGCCACAACAAGCCTATCCTGCTGCGCTCCAGGTTGCCGTCATCCACCACCACCGCTGCATGATCGCAGTTTGAAGGTCGAACAAGCAGTCAGGCAGAGCCTGCAAGACGGTACCAGGCGGGGGGGGGAATCAGGGTGAGGGAGGGGGGATTCCACAAGCCGCTACTGCTCAACTGGGACACAGAGCATCCTCTGCGAGCCTTCTTCCTACAGGGCATAGCCCTCGTAGCCACCAAGCTCGAGTATGATTTCCCGGCCTTAGGAAAACACCCAAGGGTTGATGGAGAAAGCTACTTTCAAACCTCGCAGGATGATACGCATGACCTTTCCTTACATGGAGCTCGGGGCTTGGCATCGTGTGTCATCCACGTGGAAGTGCTCGTTACGTCGTTCTCCGTCGCTAACAACACAATAATAATAACAAAAGAGGGAAACGTAAGTGTCGATCAATCAACTTTCATGCCTCCCAGCATGATGTGCAACCTGTCTACGCCGGGCTCGGGGATTCCGCATCATGCATCGATCATCCGGATGGCAGTGTTCATTACGTCACAGCCTTGAGTTTCACAGCTTTGAGTTCCACAGCCTTGGGAGTTCCACTTGAGTTCCACAGCCTTGAGTTCCACTTGAGTTCCACAGCCTTGAGTTCCACAGTTGCGAGTTACGGAGCCTTGGGTCCCATTCAGGTTCTTCACTTGAGTGTCTTTCATAGCCTTGAATTTCACTTAAGTTCTGTTTGAGTTCCACAGCGGCGAGTTCCTGAGCCTTGAGTTCCACTTGAGATCCACTTGAGTTCCACAGCTGTGATTTAAAGAGCCTTGGGTTCCCTTCACATTCCAAAGCTTTCAGAGTCACTTGAGTTCCATAGCCTTGAGTTTGACTTGGAGTTCTCTTTGAGTTTTCACAGCTGTGAGTTCCTCAGCCTTGAGTTCCACCTGAGTTCCACCTGAGTTCCACAGTCTTTAAGTTCCACTTTGAGTACCACAGCCTTGAGTTCCACTTGAGTTCCACAGCTTTGAGTTCCACTTGCCACTCGGTACACGTGCCACGATATCGATGTAGTGTTCTCTACCAAGTGCTGTCTTCCTTCAATGCTTGAAATTCCTGCAGTTTGGACATCACCTCGCTTGTCGCTTGTTGGCCATGGCACGGTCTCCTTCACCTTCCTTGCGTGTCGGCAGTTTGGACATCACCTCGCTTGTCGCTTGTTGGCCATGGCATGGTCTCCTTCACCTTCCTTGCGTGTCGGCTTCCTGCTTTTCTTTTTCAACAAGGCGGTCGCCCTTTACCAGGGTTCGAACTCATTGCCTGTTTATTAACACTTACATGTGTGTATCATTCAGCCATGTTGCATGTCTGCTTCTTTTGCCTTGAGCTATGGCTAAATGTCGTTGCGCATGGTGTGTCCCCCTTCCCCCCCCTCCTCCTCCTTCCTCTCTCTCTCTCTCTCTCTCTCTCTCTCTCTCTCTCTCTCTCTCT